GAGCCTATACAGCTTGGAGTAAGACAACATGCATGAAGAGGATGATGTGGACAAAATACTCATTTGCCTAATAATTCTGCACTCCCTGTAAAGTGTATGCCATCTCAGGGGGCGGGGGAAGCACCGAAATAAAGCACCGAAATGTGCGCTGCTTTTCGGTCTGGTTACTACCGTTTATGTCAAACCGGTACCCATCCCTACACATATGCACTGCACTGGTCACTCCACTTTATTGTCATTGATATTTATATTTAAAAAGTGCAATACTGTAATTTTCTGCTGCTCATTCCTGTGCAATATCCCATCTGCCCTCCCGTCATATTTCTTTTCAAGATTTTCTTATTTAATCACTAGTGTACATATATTTATATTTATAGATACATATATATTTAGTCATCTTTTCTCTTTTTACCACGTCTCTCTAATATTTTGCTCTTTACTATTTTTTTATTATTTTATTATATTTTATTATATTTTCTTCTACTGTACCATGCTGCTGAGTGACTGCTGCTCATCAAACACATTTCATTCCAATGTTGACTCTGTGCTAACTTGCATATGACAAATAAAACTTAAAACTGAAAACTATGGTTCCTCTGTAGGCCTATAGAAAAACCCAGACATTTTCATCAATCTTGGACACCGCGGACAGAACGTGAAAAGTGGACATGTCCAGTTGGTCACCCTAACTTAGACAAAATACTGTTACTGTTAGTTTTACTCTCTGTAGTTTTTAAATGCTTACATATACACACACACAGTTATTGTCCCTTCACACAAGACTCCTTTCTGCTTCTATGCGCCATCTTTGTTTACTCTTTCCCACCTATGCTTCTAGACTTCTGATTGGCCAACATTCCTACACGGTTTGGAATATATCGCCACCTGTTTCTTTGGCATGTTCCTAGCAGCATTTTCCTTCATTTTTGCGTTGACGTGTGGACGGGATTTAAAAAAAAAAAAAAAGAGGAAAATCTCAGTTTTCAAAAATACCGATGTACGTGTAGACGTAGCCTAAGATGAAATATCACAGGGTTAAATGTTACACATTGAGTTATATATCAAGACATCATATGATTAAATAAGTCTTTTCTATCGATTTTCATTAGTAATTGCGTTTGGCTAAACTGTAGGAAAATATTACAATTAATTCAAAAATATAAAACTTGTTCACAGTTATTTCTTTTCAGTCATGTACTCTTTTGAATTTAAACATGACCTAATTTAAGGACTGTTATCACACTGGGGATTCACGTAATAAAATGTCAGTACGGTTTGATTTACACTGCAAAAATGAGCTCAGAAGCAAAATACAAAAAAAAGATCCTGAATATTCCTGTGGCATCTCACTTTAACACTGCAAAACACAGCGATACTCCATTACAATATATTAATATACTGGCATTATAGTCTGTTCTCTGTCCCAGGACATTAAATACTTGTGTTCTGTCAAAGCTGTTTGTGATACCCTCTGGCTTTAGTGCAATGATGCACTGGGTCTAGCAGTGAGAGACAGGCCACACTCTTAACTCTTCTCACATCAGTGCTCGTGCAGGACCCTGTGGCATCGTGGTTTTTTTGTAACTGTATTGTGACAAAATGGAAGTATTTGACCATGATGGGATATTTTTTATGTAAGTTTTCTTATGAGTTATTTTTACTATTTCATTTTTTCACTTTCTTTTTTGATGTCATTCTTTGTAGTTTACTATTAGTTGAACACCTGTGTAAGATTGAGCTTGTCTGTATATTTGGGTCAGGTGTTTCATATCTTCCTTTTGAGAATGCCTGATAGAGTATGTATGAGGTTCATGTCAGGCATATTGGCTGTCCGATTAAGCACAGTAATATCATGGTCAGAAAAGCATTTGGTTCAGTTTTTGCTAAATCCTGTTGGAAAAGCAAAGTCACATCTCCATAAAGCATGTCAACAGATGGAAACATGAAATGCTCCTGGTAGATGGCTGCATTGACTTTTGGCCTGATAACATACATTGGATCAGCCAACACCAGCAGATGGCATGGGAATCATTACAGACTGCACACTGGACTTCAAACACCTTGGATTATGTGCTTCTCCATTCATTCTCCAGACTTGTAGTCACTAATTTCCAAATAAAGAGGACTTTGGAATACTGAGCCACATTCCAGTTCTTTTCTGGTTCTTTTCATTTTCTCTTCAAGTCAGGTTTACATTAGTATACTGTGGCACTTTGCAAACAGCCAGCCTTTTTAGTAAAGGCCTTCTCTGTCTCACCCTCATTGTGGAAGGTGTCAGTGATCATCATCTGAACAACTGTAAAGTCAGCAGTCTTTCCCATGGCTGTGTGTACTGAACTAGACTGAAATATACATGGTATTTATACTGTCTGAATAGCAATAATTCAATATTGCAGTAATTTGAGATATTGAGTTTGTGAGTTCCATTAAAGGGCAAAATTTGTTGTTTTTTTTTCAGATTTTTCTAATTAAATTTTTGGACCTGAAAACAACTATTTTTTCAAAAACCACCCTCCACCTTAACCATGCTAAAAATGATCCTACGTAGTTATGAAAATGTTTAAAGCTAGCTTTATACAGAATTAAAACTTTACATGAAAATTTAAAAAAAAAGGCAAATTAAGAAGTTATTGAAAACACTCTAAAAGTGAATGTTACAGTTAAACAAATCAGAAAAGATGTATGTGTAAATGTTATGCCCATAGTTCTGTATTATTTCCCAGCTTTTACAGCACTAAATACATCTGAGAGCCATGACTGAATATGGATTAACACATCACATAAATATGCCAGCTGATCAGTGATTGGATCTGAAATCATCATGTCTCTTGTTTCTGTAATTATTTGAAGGTGTGTTGAGGATATAACGGTGATATGACTACTTACAGGAAGTACATGTCGTAGCATTGTGATAGAGACATACTATACTGAGAAATGTCAGCAAACTGTATAATTTCCAGTCATTCACCTCCCTGTCTGTTTGTTTTATGTGTGGCTCTTCTATACACCCGCATCCATTCATTTACCCATTTAACAAGGACAACATTGATTGAGAGAAGTGGTGAGAGTGCAGATTCGATTTCAAGGGACAGGATTGGATTTGATAGCGGGGGCATAATAGCTCTCATTGGCTTTTATGGCACTGAATAGCTTAGCTGGAGCTGTCTTGATTCGACTGAGGTGTAATTCTGAGAAGGATCCCGGGGATGGCAGGAGCACAAACATCCTGTTCCCCATTGTCCCAGCCCACAGAACTCACTGTGCTTTACCCAGAAGAGATGGCCAAATGACAAAATGTGAGTCTAGAACCTTTCTTTGAAGGAAAAAAAAATACATATGAAGTGTAAGAGTCCACGATTCTAATAGTGCGCTTAGATCAATGAACTGTCAACTGTGCTCCCCACCATCAAAACGAAAGAGAAAAAAACAGAGTAACCTGCCGTGAATTGTCGTTAAACACAGGGCACGCTGGCGCCAGCACAAAGGCTATTTTTGTGTCGACTAAAATCCAGGCCTTGTGGCTGAGATAAGATGTATTCAGACTCCACAGCCACAATTTGGGTAATCAGTCTCCTCCTAATTCCTCTCCACTTGTTCCGCTCTGATTTCATTCATCTGCAAATTGCTCTGAGAAGAAGAGTTTTGCTCGGATGGGGGATGAATTGTGCTCTGAGTGTACTCTGCTTTTCTACAATATGTTAGCTTCTGATGAATGCCGATTTCAAAAAACACTGTCCACTGAGCAATCGTTTTAAATCTGAAAGTAGTTGCTGTTATCATCTTGTTTGTAAAATAAAATGCACTTTTCACTGCTAAATTGCGTATCCCCCTGATACCAGAACAATGATGTCTTTGTTTCCATCAGACTACCTGTTCTGCTCTTATTTTTCCCCCTTAAAGAAACAACTAGGATGGTGAAGTAACCAGGTTTTTGTGTTATAGGTGGTGCCACAGGTGATGCTCAACCAGATGCTGTACCTTCGGTACAGGGCACCCTGCCCCACTTCATCCAGGAGCCGGAGGATGCCTACATTGTCAAAAGTAACCCTATCAAGCTGCGCTGTCGAGCTGTGCCTGCCTTACAGATCTTCTTCAAATGCAATGGGGAGTGGGTTCATCAGAACGAGCACTTCTCTCACGAGTACAAGGACCTCAACACTGGTAAGACAAAGCTTTTTATACTTCCACACATGATGATGATAATAATAATAATAATGATGATATACACCTCCACATAAAGCTCTTGGTTTTAATGTTTAAAAAGTAACATAAACTTGTAAATTAATTAAATTAAGCAAATGATGCTATCTATCGAGTTTGTGTATTACTGAGCTTTTGAAAACTGTTCAGTAACACCAGCATTTACTGATATTTATTGTTAATAACTGTTATTTACTATATTCAACTACTCTTTGGTGTTATCAGAAGACAAGAAATGTAAACTTTTTGCTAAAGGGATTCGCATTTTACATGGTGACAGTCTGTGTGTTGAAATTGTTTTTAAGCTTACATAACAACAGTATTAATATTGTTAATTATAAAGTAAAAATAAGTCAGTTTTATTTGAATACCTGTTTTTCACAAAGGAAATTCAGCAAACATGAAAACAAAATTTGACAAAGAAAACTTGTTTTATGTCTCCCTCAGAAACATTATGGATAAACTAGATGATGTGTTCAAGTCAGATGATTGCATACGTAAACAGTTCTCCATTTTAAAGGTCTGTGCAGAGATCTCTGTCAAAGCAAACACTGGTGTTCCAGTTTAGTAGTTTTTTTTCCCCACGGTCTAAAATATCTTTCATTTATTTAGTTCGAATCATCAAAATGATTAAAGAATGTAGAAACAAAAGAAATCTAACATAATTTAAACTAAAACCTTGCCTTGAGTTGACTAAACTCTAGATAAACACATTTTGACTATTTCAGAAAAATGAGTAAAGCTCAACTACAACCATGATTATGTAAACTAAATTACAAAGTTACTATGGATATTTCAGCTAAATATATGTCAACTAAAATGATGCTGAAGGAAAGTTTACTTGAATTTTGCTGACACTGAGGAAAGTGCTATTGACCTACTCACTGGTAACCCTGACCTCAAGCAATCATATTATCTCATATTAATATTTATTCATTTGTTCTCCCATATCCTGGCATCAGAGACCATGTTAAATAATCATTCTAACAAAGATCAAAACCATCTTTTAAAAAATCAGTTTTGCCATATTTTCAGACCTTCTCGCCAAACCAACTCCTCTAGCTGGTAATGTGGGGAACCACAATGTTCTGAAGTCCACTGAGGCATTATAATCTCTGCAGTGTCTCCCAGAAACACCTAGAATTCATCCATGAGGCATCCTGGTTACTTGCCTGAACCAACTTAACTGGCTAAAACCATAAACCCATTTCAATTAAGAAGGGTCTTGGTTTGCATCCCAACTGGGGCGTTCTGGTGGACTTTGCAGTCATGACAGTCATGAAAATGACTTCAGGTCCTGACCACAGCAGCTTAGGCAGACCATCAAGAGAAATATCAGTGTGGCCTCAGATGATTTAAGGCAACAAAAGCAGAACAGCCTCAGTAATCATAGCTGGGCCAAGCAATATGTGAAGTGCTTATTTTAAGCTCCTTGCATTACTAGATGGAGGTTTATATACTGTACCACATCAGCCTGATTTCAGCTAGTTTCACATGAGCCGTCACTCACAGCAATGAAGAAGACCCATTTTTAAATGCTTTTTCTGGTATGATTGCACACTCTGAAATAGTGTTGCAGCAGCAGTTCCCCTTGACTGCAGCTAAATTGAAAATTAATAGTTAAATTGCATGTTTGATGCACATTTGATTATTAAATTACATTTTTGATTCATTTTTAATTTAGGAAGTGCTTCCTTTGAGCCCATTGAGTAGATGCTGGTTCACCGTGTTGTACTGCAGTTCCCTTGGGTGGAGAAATTTTAGAAGGAAACAGTCAAATAGCTTTAATTTGGAATGAACACAGAAATATGTGAAGATACTGAAACATTTACCTTCAAATTTTGATTCATAAACCCAACTTTGGGCAAACTCTAACCATGATGGATGTAAACCATGTGAGTCAAATTTCAAAGAAAACCCAGTTATATTCCATCTGGTGCAAAGAAGTTTAAGGTGCCATCTTCATACAAAAGCAACTTTTCTGCAACACAAGTAGAAAAATCCTTTCCATCAACGAACTGTGTCTGTTCTAACTTAGAATTTTTTCTTGTTGTTTATAATAGTTCACATTTTACATGAAAAAAACTCACTGAGGAAAAGGAACTTTCAACAAACTAAAATTATTTAACTATGCGGTGTCCAGTGTGTGGCATCCAGACAACAAGAGCTGACTTAAATAAATACATACAGTTTTACAAAATCAATTTTTAATTCACCAGAAATGAGATTCTTTCGGTGAATTTTTGCTAGAAACAAAGTCAGAAGCAGTGTGATCTCACTGCAGCAGCAACAACAAAATCACTCTTAGGGAGAATGGTTGGGTAGATTGACTGATGGGCCAACAAAGCGTTTCATTTAGACAAGAATGTTTGTTTGCTGCGAGTTTCCTACCAAGCAGAAGAAAGGCTGCCAAATTTCTGCCACATTGTTTTAACACCTTTAGAAGGAGTGAATGCCAGCTCAACAGCACTGACTTCCAACAGGAGGTTATAAAATGACTTATAAAAAACGGCATCACATCAACTTTGTGTAGTAGATTTGTGATTTCAGTAGTTCTTTTTTTCTCTGCCTATATATGGATGGTTTCCTTTATTAAGACAATGTTCCTTCCCTAGTAACTACTCTCCCTAGAAAGAGTTTGCCTCTCTCTGTGCTCTTTTTTCAGCAAGTCAAACCTAATAAATGGTTAGACTTTCTAATAAATGGCTTTTCCATTTTGTACAATAGTGCCCCTCTTTGCTGACATAAAATATCACTGTTTTATACAGTAGGCACCAGAGCATACATGTAAGCTACACATTAGCTAAGTTTTTTTTTCAATTGAACTGTAGAAGACGTGTTTTCCTCCACTTTCCTCCACAATTGTAGTCTCAGGTGTTGGCATAGGTTAATTTTTACAGTCTTTGTATAACTGTATCACTGAAGCATATGACTGCCTATCTTGGGTTTTATTCTATACCAGATGATGAAGAGTACATGCTGATAAAAGAATACTTGATTCGCAAAATCAAAGCATGCGCTTACATAACACCAAGATTCTACATAGACTCTACCATGCTGAATGTTCATACTTGATGTATATTATAAACTCTTACCATCCACTTGGTTGCTTTCAAACCATTTGGAGGTAGGATTATAGTTAGGTTAGGTTTTAGCCACATGCCACACTAGCAGAGTTTCAGCAACTAGATGACGTCCCTTTGAAATCAAATCTGTTAGGCGCAGTTTAGTTTTACAGCTCTACTGTAAGCTTTCAATTGGGGTATGCAAAATAGATGAAAATGACACATAAAAGGCTAAAAGTGAAGGTGACCTGGTGAATTTTAAGAGGTAAGTCTCTACTGACTAAACTGATTTTTTTCATTTGTTATTTTTAATCTTTCTCTTGCAAGTCCTCTGCACTTTATGCAAGTGCAGTTTTAAATTAGTTGAGTACCCCTTGGGTAACACTTTTCCCTCTGCATGTATCTCTGTAGAGCATCTGCTTTATTGTCTTGTTCCTCTTATTAAGCTTAATAAGTGGTATTCTTTGAAAATGTAAGAATTTTCAGAAGCATCAGTACATCCAGTTCAGTTCTAAATACCCCGACTAAGAGTTTAATCATTCCTAAAAGCCTAAATTGCACTTTCTCATTGCAGTCGTTTTTATTATTCACTGTGTTTACTTTACTGCTTATATGTTCAAAAATTAAACTGATTAGTTAAGTCATTTTATTTAGTAAAGTAAGTAAAGTAAAATTTTATTTATATAGCACCTTTCAAGATAAAATCACAAAGTGCTTTACAGAGGCCATGACCAAGGCTAGTCACTCAGAAACTATGCTGGCCCTCAGGCTACACCAGCTGGGAACCTTAAAATAATGTGTGAATACTGTTTAAACAATGTGTGCCACCAATACATGTCCAAATGATATAAGTGTCGGGCGAGGTTGTGATTTGAAGTGTGATGGAAGCAGTGGCGTGCCATACCAATTAAGTCCCATTAGCTTTTGTCAAGCGGAAGCGTGTTGATTAGAAGACCTGACTGAGGCCTCCTGAAAGGATTTCTGGCAAACAACAAAAGCCAATGTGACACCTCGGCTGGAATGCTCTGTGATTACAGGCTGCAAGAAAGCCGTCTTTCTTGTATTCATGAAGGTCTCTCCACAGAAAGAGCCTTTAATTGCTTCTGGAAGTTCATTATAGTGTGATTGCTGTGCTGTGAAATTGTTGTGAGCTTGATAATGGCAAAATGAAATTTGGAACTTCAAATTGTTTGTTGTTTTGTGTACAGTGGAAAAGTACAAGGGAAAGTTCACTTGGTGGTATTTGGCCCAGCTCAGTTCATATTCCACATCAACATCCAGCATCCAGCAGGAGGGAAGCTAATCAGTGGATTTGACAGATAAGAGTGAGACGCTATACCAAAAGCTTTTGCTGTTGCCTCGAGGCTACAGCATACAGCTGCTATGTTAACAAAAGGTTGAAGTAAATATCTCAAATTCTTGCTTCCGGAATTAAAAGGTTGTGGAACCTTTACAAATAACATATAACACCTTTCCCCTAACAACTAAAAAGCTGAATTCATAAGCAGTAATCCCTTGCTGAGATCAATACACTCAGGGGTCCTGCTGCTACACTTTTCATTCTTAGTCTGGTATTAAGGCCAGTTTTTGTCAGCTATTTGTTCTATATTGCTGTATAAATAAGAATACAAAGTAGAATGGCTAACTTTGTGTCTGCTCTCTAGTTGTCCAACATATCAAAGGTAACCATATTATTGTGACTGTAGAATCAAGTGGTAATTTCCACATTAAATAAAAAAAGACCACGAGAGTGTCTACTTCCACAGGTTCCCACATTAAAATACCTCGGTGGGTGAATTTTTATTTTTTTTGTTTTTACTGGTAGGTGCTAACATGGGGAGCTATAGTTAACAGTTGTCTGCTTTGCATATCAAAGTACAGGATTCTTGTTTGTGG